TGAGGCGACACTTCGTATTGAGGTCAAGCAGAACTGACTGTACTGGCACATACCGCCTCTTTTATTCCCAATCCACAAACTTAGTACTGCCCACAGGGTTTTACAGAACAACCAATAACACACATACATTACAGAAAACACTCCCAGCAATTATACACAAAATCCTCCCCTCTGCTTGTGATCTAATTATGGCACACAATGGGTTAACATAATTATCACAAGCAGGAAAAATACAGTATCATAAAACACATCACAGGGACCCCAAAACACACAATAACCCCATAAAACCGGGGGATCTGGGTGAACCACACATCCAAAATTCGCCCAGATCTGTTCAGTACTTTGGAAGATACAGTTTAATGCAGATTCCACAGAACATATGCAGGCTATATGAAAAACAATTACTGTATAATGTGTCCCCTGTTGTTTAGTCCAAAACCACTGCACGATGTCTCTGTGCACCAAATACCGGCGAGATGAGACCGTGTTGAAAAGTCCAAACAGTGTCTGTGAGTTAAAATGGCCACCATCCATTGTTCTCACCATGTGCTTCATCCATTGTTCTCAAAATGTGCCTCTGATACATGAAATGGTGGCCACCCAGTAACTCCACAGTATGTCCAAAGATGGTTCTTAAAGGGCCAGCAGCAGCACAACACAAATCCATTATGCCCAAATCATATCTTTAAAGGGCAATGCATCCCAGGGGCCATAGTCACATGGCAGGAAACTGGCAAACAGTCTTCTCCAATGCCCAGTGGCGAGGTCGGTTTCACCACATTTCTCCCCTTTCCCAAAAAGACTAAGAGACCTCAGTCCCATCTCTACCTGCCATCTGGAGGTCATCCCAAGACCAGTCAATGAGGTCTAGTTCTGCTTGTCGGGTAGGTTGGGGCTGCACGAAGCTGAGCAGGTGTTGGTAGTCCTGCTCCAGCTCCCAGTCCCTTGTTACCAGGTGGGTCATGTCTTTGCTCACCTCACATTCGTCAGCCCAGACATACATGCCTATCCGGTAGTCGTAGATGTCCCAAAACCTAGACCCCTCCATGCTGCCAAGATCAATGTCGTCCTCCGGGCCATCATAATCATCCCCCTCCGGTAAGTCGTGCTCGGCCGTCCAGGGGCTAAGTCGAATGGTATGCCACCAGAGGGCCTGGTATGCGTTGTCTAGCCAGATATCTCACCATACCAGGGTCTCTAGTCTTGTCACCCACTCATCCAGGGGCTGCTCTCCCAATAGATACATCCGCATCGCCACACGCTTCTGTAGCCGCTGCTTATCACTGGGGAGACTCTCACCTCGCCGCCACTGGACATCTTCCAGGGCATCATACCAGAGTTCCTTTCTGTCTGCCTCCCTGTAGTCCGCAGCCGCCTCCTCCTCCTCATCATGGAATGCTGTACGAAAACTAGCCGATTCCATCCTGCTGTAGCCAGGGGCGCTGTACGGATACGAGCGTTGCCCTCAATTTGTAACTCCAAATGTTACCAGTGTCTCCGAGCTGCTTCTCCTCGCACTAGGACGCCATCCCACCGCTTGCCACCAATGTAACGGATCACCTGGCACCCCGACTGGGTACCTCTGTTGAAGGATGCTCCTAGCGCTTCCTGAGGACTCCAAGCAGTGCAGCAGACACCACAACCACCGCAGACTCCACAACCGCCGTAGCTTAACTGGAGTCTCGCCGTCTTCCTTCCACCCTGTATGAACCTCCAGCATCCAGGACCGTGTGGGGAAGACCTCTCCTCCAGGAGAGCGTAACAGGAACAGCTCTTAAAAGAGCTAAGTGGTTAAAAGCTCAAGGGAGTATGCAGAGCATAGCAATCCCCAGTGTGATATAGTAGTTCCCTCCAATAACGAGACAAGGCTACGTATTGAGGGTCAAGAAGATCTGACTGTACTGGCACATACAGCCTCTTTTATTCCCAATCCACAAACTTAGTACTGCCCACAGGGTTTTACAGAACAACCAATAACACACGTACATTACAGAAAACACTCCCAGCAATTATACACAAAATCCTCCCCTCTGCTTGTGATCTAATTATGGCACACAATGGGTTAACATAATTATCACAAGCAGGAAAAATACAGTATCATAAAACACATCACAGGGACCCCAAAACACACAATAACCCCATAAATATCCTCGGAGCCGGGGGATCTGGGTGAACCACATATCCAAAATTCACCCAGATCCGTTCAGTACTTTGGAAGATACCGTTTAATGCAGATTCCACAGAACATATGCAGGCTATATGAAAAACAATTACTGTATAATGTGTCCCCTGTTGTATAGTCCAAAACCACTGCACGATGTCTCTCTGCACCAAATACCGGCGAGATGAGACCGTGTTGAAAAGTCCAAACAGTGTCTGTGAGTTAAAATGGCCAACATCCATTGTTCTCACCATGTGCTTCATCCATTGTTCTCACCATGTGCCTCTGCTACATGAAATGGTGGCCACCCAGTAACTCCACAGTATGTCCCCAGATGGTTCTTAAAGGGCCAGCAGCAGCACAACATATCATTAAAGGGCAATACATCCCAGGGGCCATAGTCACATGGCAGGAGGCTGGCAATCAGTCTTCTCCAATGCCCAGTGGCGAGATTGGTTTCGCCACACCATCCACGAGATCCAAGAGTAAAATCAGGCATATCTGTAAAATGGAGCAAGGTAATGATGTGACGAGACCAATCTCGCCACTGTGCATTGGAGGAGCCTGGTTGCCTGCCTGCTGCCTTTTGATTATGGACCGACATTTAAATACTTTATTTTCCTATGCAGAAAGGTCTATTTCTGTATTTCTGCCCTGGCGTTCGGTAGATTCTCGGATTTACTGAATTAACTCATTTAACCCAGATAGCTATGCCATGGAGCCTATTCGTGTAATAAAAGACTTTGGTTCCATGGCGATTGAACTGTATGTGTGTGGTCTGAGCGCCATTCAGTAATAATGTGTGCTCAGACCTAAGCTATCTGGGGATATGTTGCATGTCTGGATTTTATGTAATAAATGTAACCTTGTGTATTTTATTGTATTTTACTGTCTTTTTACTGCCATGTGCTTAATGGAGTTTTGCCTCTGTCCTTGGAGATAATTGTATTACTTCCCAATTATCTCCAGGATAGAAGACTCTGTGGAGCTGGTTTTGGGCAGAAAAAAGCCATGCTTCCTTTGGTCACAAAGGACTACGATCTATCTTTTGAACCACTGGACCAATTTGGATGATCTTGACATGTGTTTGTATTTGGAGTATGCTGATTCTGAAAATGTATGTTTTATGTGAATGTGATGCATACTTTTAAAGTTTTGAATAATGTGGAAAAAATTTATTTCTCTGCCGGTGATAATTACATTACCCATTGTGTAAGGTAATTGTATCACAGGCAGAGGGGAAGATTTTATGTGGGAGTGTCTGAGTGTATTGTACATGTTTATTGGTTGTTTTCCAAAACCCTGTGGGTGGTACTAATGTGTAAGAATGTGTACATAAGAACAATAAACCCACAGCTCTGTCTGTTCACTGCTTGACCCTCAAAACAGAGCCTTGTCTAGTTCTTGGGGGGGATTTATTATATGCTGTTCCAGTTTGACTGCTAGGAGTGTAAACCTATTCGTATGGTTTTTCCTATTCGGCTGTTTACGGCATTCACATGGTTTCCTGTTCGGCGGATTGGTGTTCTGCAGTAGCTGCGCCTGTGTCTCTGGAAGGGAAGATCTACTAAACGGTGGTTTAACCCTTTTATGCCCTGGGGTGCCGTTACATGGTGCAGTTTTATGCAATTTTGCCCTTGGGAGGGCGACACCTACATAATTAGCACAATACCCAATCACAAACATGGTACAACCCACATGTCTCCACTCCTCAGATAAACAGTTAACATAATTATACACACATTGTTACCCAAGTTTTGGATGTCCCTCCCCTCATCTAGGGGAAAAACATATTGAAAAATCATCCCATTCGGTGAAAGTGTTCAGGAGTTATGGGACTTTAAAGTTTTGACCGACCGCATAGGCACACTAGCCCAAAATAGTTCCATAAGTTTTGGCCTTGCGGTCGGTCCTCGTTTGTGCGATGAAAAGGCAAAAAAATCCGCACGTATCAGATCCTTTCTACCGAACGGCCGATCGTTCGGTAGTTTCAGCACGAAATTACGTTGTTATGGAGGTCTCAGCAGTGTTTGCCTGCTCGAGTGTCCGATTTTAGTTCCAGACACTCGACGGCAAATCACCGCTGTTCGTGCGTTAAGGTGGTCGCGAACACGTGCAAAGTCCCGAAATGGCGGCCACCTAGGATCTACAACAAAGGATTCGTGCATTTCTCACACGAATGGTATTTTACCTCCCAGACCGGCATATACCACATAATTGACATCAGGGTGGTCCGGTGTTCGGCAGTTTGTATTCGTCTTTGTGCCTGCTGAGTCTCTACCGCATGGATTGCACAAATAGACGAATACTGGCCATATAAGTCCTGAATTGTGCTGTAACAATCCACCGAACCAGGTAAGTATATCCCCTTGAATTATTATGCATAATTATAGTTAAATATGTCCAGGCAGACAGTACAGTTCTGTTACACAGTAAGAAACTCAATTATCTCCCAAGCAGAGGGGAGGGAATCTGGGGGATGTAACCACTGTATGATTGGGTAATGTCTAATTGGCTGTGGGTGTCTCCCTTGCAGGGGAGCACTGCATAAAAGCAGAGTACCTGTCATTAAACATCAGTTCTACTTTACCCTTCAAAATGTAGCTTTGTCTCGTTATTGAAAGGGAACCTGCTCAGCTAATCACTAGCTCTTTTAAGAGCTCTACCTCTCTCTCTCTACTTGGATCCTGCTGATAGAAAGAAGGCTACTCCATTACTGCACAGCATCTTGCCAGGGAAAATGGACGTCTCCAACGGCTGATACCCCCTCTCCACTGGGGTAGCCGTTACATTGGTGGTAGCAGTGGGATGGTCCTTTCCTCCACAGAGCAAGTGCTGAATGGAGAACCAGTATGCCAAACTGAAGAAACCTACGCTGAAGGATCTACTAGAGAGCAGAGGATGGAGTGCCAGTAACAGACCACGAAAAGAGCTGATTGCTGATCCGCTAGAGCTGGACGAGATGGATCAGTCCGTGGAAAGCCCCGAACTGAGTTTCCAGAACCAGGAGGAGGAGGAGATCCGCCTCATCGTCCTGGGGAGGCTAGATATGTATCCGGCCCCATCTGAGGTCAAAGCAGAGATTGAGGTCAAAGCAGGTCCTAGAGGTCAAAGCAGAGATTGAAAAGAGGAGGGAGTACAACCTACATCAGGGCACAACAGCCTGTTATATCCACAGCCTCTACCCCTCCTCCGACCACAGCTGCCAAAAAGGTCCCATTTGCCGCCTTTAAAACCTTTGTGGAAAGTGAAGACGAGATTGACGGGTACCTGGCGGATTTTGAACGACAATGCTCCCTACACCAAGTACCCCCAGAACAATGGGTCACCATTCTGTCCGTTAAGCTGACCGGCAAAGTCAATGAAGCCTTTCGGGCTCTTACCCCAGAGGACATACAACAATACCAGCTGGTTAAGGATGCACTTCTCACCAGGTATGCCGTGACCCCGGAGACTTACCGTCGCCGCTTCCGGGAGTCCAAGAAAAAGGCTGTGGACCCCCACATGGAATGGGCTTGCCGGCTACAACGAGTGGCATCCTAAGGGTTGCCACGCCAACACCGGGGAGGAAGTACTACAGCTGTTCCTGATGGAGCATTTTTTCCAGGACTTATCTGCCAATGTACAGGACTGGGTACGAGACCGCCGTCCTCTCACCTTAAACGATGCAGCTCGCTTGGCGGATGAGTACACCGAAACTAGAAAGGTGAGCCAAAGCACTCTCTGACCACCTAACTGTGTGGAGCACTGTACCCCAGTCCCAGTTCCTCGCTCAGAATTCTGTGCTCCCATACCGCCGGGGCCCACTCGCCCCCAGGGGTCCAGCAACTATCCCCGAGATCTATCTAAGATCACTTGCCATCGGTGCAGCAATACTGGACACCTCTCCCGTTCCTGCCCTTTGGGATCATCCGCTACTAACTGGAGGCGCCTCTCACCGATGAACCCACAACACCTTCTGCCTCCGCCGCCTATTGCCTGGAGACTGAGCTGGGGCCAGAGGAACACCTGTCCAACCGCATAGTCGCTGTACGTGTTGCTGGAGGAGCTGTCTTTCGACTCCCCACTGCCCGAGTGCACCTGGACTGGGGAGTCGGATCTGGGAAAACTACTGTGGGCATCATGGACAACTTGCCTGCAGAAGTCGTGTTGGGCAACGATATTGGCCCTCTGGCTTCTGCCTACCTACCCAGTAACACTGCTGCTGCTTGCCCAGTGACCACTCGATCACAGACCCGTGGCACAGAAGACCCTACACCAGGACGGGAGACCCAGGTAAGAACCTCACCGACCCTTGCCCCGACCGTAGTTAATAGACCCTTAACTTGGGATACCCCAGAGGAGTTTGGGAGGGGAACTAGAGCAGACCCATCCCTCCAAAAGTACCGGGAAAAAGCCAAGAGTGGGGGGGATGAGCAAGAGCATTTTATATGGGATAAGGATAGACTGTATAGGTTGACGGAAGGTAGGAGAAAGACTGTATATGTTGACGGAAGGTAGGAGAAAGTACCGGTTGGAGCTTCTCCGAATTGGACACGATATTCCTTTGGCAGGACACCTGGGTGGTAACCGTACAACATACAGGATCACCCAGACCTTCTTTATGCCGGGGATCTCCAAAGATGTGCGACGTTACTGCAGCACGTGTGATGTTTGCCAGCGAGTAGGGAAAAGAGGGGACCACCCGAAGGCCCGACTGTCACCCATGCCAGTGGTCGAGGAACCTCTAGCAGGGTGGCAGTCGATCTAGTGGGTCCCCTACCAAACCCCAGTCCATCGGGTAAGAAATATATTCTTACCGTGGTGGACTATGCTACCCGCTACCAGGAAGCTGTCGCTCTGACGAATATCCAGGCTGATACGGTTGCCAGTGCCTTGGTCGGGATATTCACCAGAGTGGGGTTCCCGCAGGAAATACTGTCTGAAAGGGGGACTCGGTTTACCGCAGACCTCACCCAACAATTATGGAAGGTCTGCGGTATCAAACCCCTACTCAGCTCACCTTACCACCCCCAGACTAACGGTCTCTGCAAGCGTTTTAATGGTACCCTGAAACAGTTACTGCGGACCTTTACAGATGAGTACAGAGACTGGGAGTGATTTCTGCCGCACCTCTTGTTCGCATATCGAGAGGTGCCCCAGGATTCTACTGGGTTCTCCCCTTTCGAACTGTTCTATGGAAGGAGGGTCAGAGGACCCCTCGACCTCATTCGGGAGCACTGGGAGGGGGAGATGGAACACAAGGGTGTCCCCATTGTGCCATACGTTCTGGAGATGCGGGACCGCATGGAGCAATTGGCCCGGATGGCACGAGACCATCTCCATGTGGCCCAGGGTCGACAGAAGCGGTGGTACGATCGGGGTGCCCGACAGCGATCGTTCCAGGTGGGACAAAAGGTCCCGGTGCTTAGGCCAGTCAAAGGGAACAAGATCCAGGCCTCCTGGCAGGGCTCTTAGAAGGTGGTGGCGTAAATCTGCGACACCACCTATGTGATTGCCAGTAATAAGGATGAAAGGATTCAGAAATCCTTCCACGTTAACCTTTTGAAGGAGTATCAGGAAAGGCCAGAAGATATTGCGGCCATATGTATCCCCGCTACAGACGACCCTGACAGTCTGCCTATCCCAGATTTCCTAGCTCGACCAGAGCCCGGTAGCCTACTCAGTACCGTCCAACTAAGGGAGCGCTTAAATCCCGCAGAAAAGGGCCAACTTAGGCAGCTGCTAACGGAGAAAGAATTAACTTTCTCCCAAGACCTAGGATACACCACACTAGCGATCCATCATGTCGAGACCCCGGGACAAGCACCCCTTAGACAACCCCCCCTACCGAATCCCCGAGGCAGTTAAGGGAGGGATGAGAAAAGAGATACAGGAGATGCTTCAGTTAGGGGTTATTGAGCCCTCAGACAGCCCCTGGGCCTCTCCAGTCATTTTAGTCCCCAAGAAGGACGGAACCACCCGGTTCTGCGTTGACTATAGACGCCTCAATGACTGTACAGTGACGGACGCTTACCCAATGCCCCGGGTGGATGAACTATTAGATCGCATTGCCAGGGGACGCTATCTGACCACTATCGATTTATGTAAGGGATACTGGCAGATTCCCCTAGCTAAGGTGGCTATTCCCAAGTCGGCGTTCGTCACCCCGTTTGGCCTGTACCAATTTAAGGTCAAGCCATTCGGGATGAAGAATGCCCCAGCCACGTTCCAACGCTTGGTGGATAGGCTCCTTGATGGCTTCCAGGGTTTCGCTTGTGCGTACCTGGATGACATTGCGATCTATAGTGAGACATGGGGGGAGCATTTGAAGCATGTAGAGGCCATACTGGACCAGATTCGGGCCGCAGGCCTAACTCTGAAACCGGAAAAGTGCCACTTTGGCATGGCCGAAGTCAAGTATTTGGGACACCGGGTGGGGTGTGGGAAGCAACGTCCCGAGCCAGCCAAAGTCGAGGCCATTGCTAACTGGCCCCCCACACCAAGACCCAGGTACTGGCCTTCCTAGGGACAGCTGGGTATTACAGGACATTCGTCCCTGACTATAGCACCATTGCTAAACCCCTGACAGACCTAACTAAAAAGAACCTGCCTAGAGTAGTCCTGTGGTCTCCCTCCTGCGAAACAGCCTTCCAAGCCTTAAAGAAAGCTCTAATCAATGCTCCTGCCCTCCTCCCTAACAAACGATTTGTCGTCCATACAGATGCTTCCATGTACGGACTGGGGACAGTTCTAAGCCAGATCGGGGAAGATGGAGGAGAACACCCTGAGTAGGAAATTGTTACCCAGGGAGGTGAGCTATGCGGCAGTGGAGAAGGAGTGCCTAACCCTAGTCTGGGCTCTAAAGAAACTCACCCCATATTTGTATGGTCAGGAATTTACCCTCATTACTGACCACAACCCTATGGTCTGGTTGAATAGAGTGGTGGGAGATAATGGCCGACTACTGAGATGGAGCTTGCCTCTTCAACCATATAATTTTTCCATCCAGTATCGACCTGGCAAACTCAACGGGAATGCGGATGGACTGTCCAGGCAAACCGAACTTATACCCTAGCAGCAGCCCGGACATCCCCAAGTTGACCCGAAAAGGATCAAGCCGGGTCTGCCGGGGTGTTCCACCAAGGGGAGCCGTGTAACAACCCCCTACCATGTTGCCTGTGAACCGCTACCGTTTAGTTTGGTTTACCTTCACCCACATTGCCTGTGCCTAAAGAACCAAGATTATGTCTGACCTTTTAACTGTTTTGTACAAAGGATTGGTATGTTTGATATGGCACTTCGGATACAGCCGAAGTGCCCGCCATTCGAACGCGTGGCAGTGGCCATTTTAATCCAGTCAAACGCGGTCAGCGGTGTGTGCCGTCAAATCCCTGGAACGGAAATCGGCCACACATTGGAACGAACACTGCTGATCTGTACCTTCCCCTACCCTTCGGCACTGTGGCTGGAGACTAGGTCCCACTCGAAGATTCGAACACCCGTTCAAATGGGACTTAGGCGCTCTGGTGTAAAATAGACCATCGAACACCACTGGAACACAACCCCGGTTTCACTTCGACACTTCGACCGAAGTCGAAGTGCGCTCGACAATTTGAACGCCGCCTTCGGATGGGACTTTGCCATTTTTCAGGTCAGAAATAGACCGACTGCACAGCCTGAGTCTGTGGGACTGTTTTGGGCTTGCAAACAGGCATGCAGTCGGTCCAAAGAGACTTTTTTTATATTTCTGGAACCCCTGAACGGATTGATACGAATTTTGAGTATGTTGTTCCCCAAGTTGTGTTGTTTATAAAAATATAAGTTTTATTGCTGTGTGATGAAGAATCAGAAAGTTATATAAAATGCATAAAAAGTATAAGTTTTAGCTTGGAGATAATTGAGGAGATACAGTAAGAAACTCAATTATCTACCAAGCAGAGGGGAGGGAATCTGGGGGATGTAACCACTGTATGATTGGGTAATGTCTAATTGGCTGTGGGCATCTCCCTTGCAGGGGAGCACTGCATAAAAGCAGAGTACCTGTCATTAAACATCAGTTCTACTTTACCCTTCAAAATGTAGCTTTGTCTCATTATTGAAAGGGAACCTGCTCAGCTAATCACTAGCTCTTTTAAGAGCTCT